AGCCGCTCCAAGGATCGTCAACATTTTGCATATTTAAGCAGCCTCAGCAGCAACGACTTGGATAATCTAACATACTAATGTGTGCAAATGCCTAGTCAGCCCCCCTCCATCCTCCCTTTCTGACCAGTTCAGTTCCGAGTTCCGAGTTCTCAGTTCCAGGGAGACCACAAAATCAATAATGATTACATTTGCCTTGCATATTTCACCAGCCAAGAGAGCGGACAAGAGTGGGCGACTTGGTTGGGTGGGTTAAATGACATTTGGTGGCATACGCCAATTGGTTGGCAGGTCAGGTGGTTGCTCCTACACCAATCCTCCATCCTACCACATCCCCTGCAGTGGAGAGTGTGAAAAGACAAAAGCCAAGAGACGGAAAAGCGGTTAAGTGGCGAGGTAGCAGCAGCACCACCAGCCAAAAGCCCTTACAGAAAGAGCCTCTACCTATGCCTATGTCTATGCCCACTTCTGCTCCACAGGGCGAACTCGATACGATGAGCGTTTGGTAAGGGAAAGGAATGAATTTGCACATTCTTCCAGCATCACTAAAAATCGATTACAATTGATTGCCTACAGTCATTAGGCAACTCCCTTGAAAGATTAATTAAACAAATGATTAATGGAAGCGACTTTCAAAGAAGAGCATTCTTTTCTGGTCTTAAACTTACTGTCGTCCGAACTAATATGATTCTTGTAACTAATAACACTAATTTAGTAAGAATATAAAGATTTTTAATCACTCTTCACTTGGGATACAATGACTAATAAGTTCGTCTGATATAAAATGCGATCTTCGATGACTTTAAAATTTCGAATGGCGGAACACGATTCAAGTTAAGGGTTTTTTAAATTAATCAAATCTTAAAGTACTATCTAGGATAAAGTAAATGTAAAACACCCTCACCGAGGGCCCACTGTACCCCAACTGTAGCCACCACCAAACGGGTTGAGTGCTTGGCTCCGGTGGGGCTTCGAAGCAAAAGAAATGCACTGCACCGCCGCCAGAAGCGGCCGAAAGCAGAAGATGCAGCCGAAGAGGAACGAAATAAGTGGCGCGCAGGGTCAACGATAAAAGGCGGTTAAGGGGTGGCAGGAGGGGCAGAGGAAGGCGACGCCACTCGATGCAGTCAACGGCCTACAGAATGCAAACGGCAAACGCAAACGGCAGACTGCAACGACTTGGCGACGATGGCTATGGGTCCCTAGCCCAACCAGTTAGAAAATGCAGGCGGGCAAGAAAGTGCAACAAAGTACAGACCTCAATCTGCAGTTCAGCCAACGCACACACACACAGAGACACTCACCCGTACCCCACCACCACCCACCGTCCCCTGTTCGACCGCCTGGCAGGTTGAAATCCAACGCAGCAGAACGAAGCAACGAACGAACGAGCGAAAGAGTGGGGAAAAGCAAATGGAAAACGGCAAGGAAAATGCACACAACAAAAAAGGCGAAACGCTGATGACGTTGACGACGAAGAGCAAGTCGACGGCGACAAAGCGATTGCACAAAACAGGCCGAGTGCGAAAAATTTTCAGAGGCGGTGGAAACACATGCCTAAAAGGAAAATGCAACAAAAGCGTACAGCAAAGCACTAAAAAGCCAAAGAAAGGCGACGAGAAAGGGGCTGCGACACGGGAAAACTGGCTGCTGAGATTGAGCCAAATAAGAAGTTGGAATATCTACAATATGTATCTAGGATTGTTCGTAAGTATCACTTTATCTACACTTTGTTCTCTTTTACGGATACTAAATTGTTTTATTAACATTTTAAAAACTAAATAACTAAACTAAAACTTTAATAACATATTTTATTCAAAAACTTTGAATTGGTAACCATTAAATATCAAACATATTTAAAAAAAAAATGGGAATATATTTCTTTACATAAAAGTCAGTTGGATACATAAGGTTATCTCTAAAATTCTTAATAATTTCTTTCGGAACTTCTAACACTGTTCTTGACCATGATACCTCTAACCAAAGTCTCCAATCTGAACTAGTCTAAAACTTGCTAATTTAAACATTCATCACCAGTTTGTTAATCAAATTTTATGATAGAAACTTTTACTTTCCAGTTTTTAAGTTCTTTATTTACTTAAATAAAAACGAAATTCTTGCGAAATGCTAGTTAATATTTTTGATATAAGACAAAGTTGAACTTCGGTTAAGTAATGGCTTTGCTGATTTCGAGTAATGCCATGAAATGTGATTTCAGCACTAATTGGTGGCTATGAATAACGGCGTGCAATAATTACAGTGCCCCCTAAGGTTCTGCCTCGCATTTGTAAATATAGTAACTGATATTCCCCAACAATAACAAGTCAAAATGGGGGCGAGAAATGTTTTCGTAGTCCGCTGCACTGAGGGAAAACCTAAAGTCAGATCACATTTAAACTAACTAAATTAAGATAGGGGACATGAATGGCTAATCAATCCACTTTGATCGAATTCAAATTGATTAAAAGAAATAAAAACTTATTTGACTGACCAAAGAACCTGCTCTTAATTTATTTATTTAATCTAGTGGAACAATATAAAATCAATTGGCCAAAATTATCTTTAAAAAGTTAAAGGTTAAGCTTGCCCATAAGTTATTTTATAAACTTAAAGTTGTTTATTTAATATATTAAATAAAATATAAGTAACTAATATGATTTATAAATCGAAAACAATCCATAGTATATTTATCCTATAAGACTTTCCATTCTAAATAATAATAAAAATAAATACAGATTTATTTAAATTATTTGTGTCTCTCAATTTTAAATGTGACAATAATCTTATTTTTAGCGTGTTTCTATAATTCAAAAAATATTTTAATAATATCTTAGATCATTTTTTTAAAAATATAATAGAGTATATTATAATCTGAAACTCTCGAATATTTATATTTCTAGTTTTATTTTACGATATAAATTCTACATGGAAGATAAACCAGTTATAAGTTGAGATGGTATCTAAAATCTAATCTTAACGATTTTAAATCTTCAAAAGCAGATAGAACTGCAAATCCTACCTCTTAAGGCTTAATAAAACCAGATAGTCATATTAGCAAATCTATTTATTTAATTTAGAATTTTATGTTTTTCGAATTCCTAAGTTCTCAGTGTAGGCGAGATTCAAATCCGTTTTCAAGTGCAGCGAAGCGACGACGACGACTGCGCTGGCGTTGGCGACGGCGAAAATTAATCACAATTGAGTTTCCCCAGCTGCAGGCAGCAACAAAAAGAGTAGAGCTGCGAAAAGTTTCCTCGGGATGAATTTGTTGCCTTGGCAGGGTCTGATAAGACTTATATTTCGTTCCTATATATGTACAAAAAGGAGCCCTGGCAACGCCTTTTTCGCAAGTCAAGCGTTTGACGACGCGTAAGTGATTAAACACTGGGAAATAAGGCCAAAAGGGCTGCCTGCCAAAATTGATTCCTATAAGTCAGCCGAAAGGTTCGCAGATTTTTATTTGTATTGTGTGGCTATTCGCCATCTGAGTTTTCCTTAGGAAAGTTAAATATTTGGCATAAATGCGCTCGAAGAGTTTTGATGGGAGATTTAGGTTTTAAAAATGCTTAAAAGGGTTTAGCTCGATAAAAGATAATTTACGAAGCCACCAGAAAAATATGTACCAAAAAAGGTTATGAAAGGAATAGTGCGCATCGAAAAAAAACTAATAATTTAGAATATAAATAAGAAAATTAATTGCACACAAAATTTCTGTGATCATATGATAAAAATTAGAACTTGCATAAAGTAAAATTCAAAGAATGATAACGAAACGGTATAAAAATATCTGATTGAGCAAAACAACAAGTTATAAACGTGATCTGCCTTTACTTATCAGAAGTTGAATGGAAAAGTTTCATATCGATAGCTTTAAAACTGAGCTCATGTCTACACATATACATTCGGTGAATGATGCTGATCAAAAATACATTTATGCATATATTTAATTTAGAGCTCCGGAAATGTCTTATTCTCCTTTTTGAATTTAAACTATACTTAAATACCCTTTGCAGGGTTAGAAAATATGAAATATGAAATATATGAACTGGGATACCTAGCTTAAGTTAGAAGAACTAATTCCAAAACATAACAAAAATGATGGCTCCTTGTAGGGTTAGCCAGCCACGGGAAACAACAAAGAAACGAGGCAAAGGAAAACGCGCGCTTTACTCGAGTTGCTGCCCACGCCAATTAGAATTTTGAAGTCCAACTGGGCGGCGCTTTGCAACACTGCCCGACGCCACACGTACACCAACAAAAATACGCACACACACACTTACGCATACTAGTGCATCCAGAGCCAGTTTGTCTGGCAATTGAACAATTGAGCGAAAAGAGCGACTTGCGCTGAGAGCCAGAGAGAAACAAAAAAAGGAGAGAAAGACGCGCGTTTTTAATCTTTTTTTTGCCAGGGTATAGAGAGCATTTCGGGACTGGTTTGTGGATTTTTGATATTTTGGCTAGCAAAAGCGCCAAACCCGTTAGGGAAATGGGAGCAGAATGTTCTTACCCTCCGCAAGTCGATTAAAATAAGGGTGGTTCAGAACCAAAACAAAGCTGCTCATCACATTCCCCGTCCGTTATATGGACTTACAGGGTAGCACGGCGAATGCAGGCACAAAGGGAAATGCCAATGACAACAAAGAGCGGAGAACGCAAGGCAAATAGGAAAAATAACGACGGAGAACAAAAATCAATTTGAGTGGATGCTGGACTTATTTTGTTCGTTCCTCTTCTTCCTTATTTCTTCTTTTTTTTTGCACAAAGTTTAAAAAGCTGTATGCAATACACACAAACACACACACACAGGCACAGGCGGCACACAGACAGCAACACGCGACGGCTTTTTTTGCCGGTTGGAATAATGTAAACTACTGAGAAAATACGGCGAGAGAACGCTTTAATTATGCTTAATTTGTTGTTAATCAAACACAAATCACCGTTAAGCAAATAAGAGACCGTAAAGCTTAAGTCATTAAATTTTCAGTGGAAAAGGAGCTCACGTTTTTCTTTTTTTTCGCTGCTGCAGATCGGTATAAGTATTGGTATCGGGTTTATTTGCCGGATTGTTATTTCACGTTCATTAATTGTGTTTCTTTGTTCCCCTCTCACTCCTTTCGACTTGCGCACACTTTAAATTTGCATTTGCAATGCGAACAATTGCCGTTTTTCGGTCGTTAATTTTTTCAGTGGCTCTCCTACACACCGCTAACTTGGTAAATCCTCGCTTCCGATTTTTTAGATTTAAGATTTTCTGAGATATATTCTTGGCTCTGCGAGACTTTAGAGACTTGCTTTGCGCGACGTAGAACCGAACACCACCATTAATTTTCGCCGAATGAGTGGCCAAAGCGGAGGTAAGGCAGATACACCGATGAACAACGGAACAGGCGACGGGGGTGGGTGCTTTGCGCTCGGCGAGAGCGCGCGAGCGAGGCGAGTGCGAGAGAGCGAGATATACCAGGGAAATTCTGGTACTTTTGCATTTCGCGGTATTTTCGATCTGCGCATGCGCGGTCACACCGGAGCGTGGGTGCCACTCAACTCAGCGACTATGGTCGTCCCGCTCCCACTCGCAGCTGTATGAGTCGAACACAAGCAAGGCAAAAACGCAGAGAGCGCAATTTGAGTAGATTTTGTTAGACTCACTCGAGAGACTATTTCACTCACTCTGCTGTTACAGCTAACAGAACTTCTGACTTGATTTCCCGATCACTGCAGTTTCCCATTCGATAGTTCCGACCAGAAAGAGTGAGTGAAATGTGGGTTACATCAAAAAGCCCTTTTTCACCTTCGCATTCTGCTTGTAATTAATGAAAGGGATTAAATTTGAGGCCAGCAACAACAAACATGCCCGTGTAATGAATTGCTTTTAAATTAAATTATGCAATTAATTTTATGCCAAAACAGCGACAAAAACAACAAAGGATTACATAAATATTTTCAGTTCATTATAAATGAGCGAGCCACAATAACAACAACCCAATTCCAATTAGACCCGAGTGCGATGGGATTTTGTGGGTTCTGATTGGAGTTTCCCATTTTCGTTTCAATGTCCCAAATGACCTTCAGAGGTGCTAAAAATGCAAACTTTTAAAAACTACAGCAAAGCCTTTTCTTGGAACGGTTAAAATTTTATTCGTTCTTTAGTTTATTGAAAGATTCCGTTGAAAGTCACATAAAATATTGTAATTATTATTATTATAGTATTTTTCCTTAGGTCAACTTTAACTATTTTATTTGCTGTGTTTCTTTAAATTACCATTTATTTGACCAAATATTTTTGTTACAAGAAATTTGGTTGGTTTCGAATTTAGCCAATGTTTAAATACAAATATAGGTTTCCAAAAACATAAGTCTAAGGGAACCAGAAACAGTGTTATGGTCTTATGCAACTCTTTATGCAACCTAACTATATTCTCAAGACTATTTCTTAAAAATACTATGCAATATCTATAAGGTTTACTACCTTTTTATATAATATCTCTTTCTGCATAGTCTTTTCTCCTAAATAATTAAAAAGCAATTGCGGGAAAATTATATTTTTATGGCTGAAAAATGTTTTTCCTATAAATAAAACCATGAGAAATTGTACGATTAGTTACCACCAAAATGTAGAATATTTGCCAGTTTTAATTTAATCGATCTAGTTTTGTATTAAGCATCTTGAAAAGGAGGAGGGCGGGAGTTTTTTAAATTTCATATTTCTTTTAAAACGGACATTCCACTCGACCACTTTAATTGTATTATTTAATTGAAAATCCTTTTTTCTTAATTTAATTTTTCTTATATCGACTATTTAATGATTTTTCTGATATAAATTCTGATATTTTAGGGAAAAACAAGTTTTATAAATACAAAAAAGCGAAGAAAATACATTTGTTTTATATTTATATATATAAGTATATATCAGTACAAAGGGAGTAGTAGATGTTTATACATTTACCTCGGTTATGATATGAACAGAAATGAAGAAAGCTTAGTCTATACAGTTTATATGATCGAAAATATCTGCTTGCTGCATGGCCATATCATGATAAAAAGGAGGACCCATTCTGATATTCAACGAATTTTGTTGTTCGTTTTAATTTCATAACTGTTTATTCGAATGGAGAGTGACTTTTATTCTGCAAATGACTACAGGCATTCTTAATTGGTATGTGTTGGATGCAACACCATGGCCAGCTTGGACAACAAACACGGCGGCAAAGTCAATTAATTGATTCGAAACAAGAGGAAACTGAAAGGAAAACATTTAGAAAAAAGGTGGTAGAAAAAGTGGGCCCTGCTGTTGGTAAAAAAAAATTGGGCATTGGTCAGTGGTGGGCGTGGCAGTGCATTCGAATGGCAGGGCAACTTTCGTTTTGTTTGAAGCCTTTGTCCGTGTGGGTTGTGTAAAAACGATAAGTGCAAAATTTAATTAAATTTCAGTTCAGGAGCAAAAAAGCCCTAGAGAAGAGGGCCGAAGAGCAGAAGACCAGAAGAGTCGGCATTGAAGTCCGTTACAAGCGAAATGCATTAAGCCCACGAGTTTTAATTAAATTATTATTAATCTCATTTGACTGCGTGCATGTGTGGGTTAAGTCCGCCCCAGCTGACTTTACCTGCTGGAAAAAAAAAGTGAAACGACAAATTGAATTTCATAAATAAACAAACCGAATTAAAGGAAAAATCAAGGGGAAAAACTTTGACATGTCCCACAAAATATTCCTATCTGTGCCAAAAAGTTAACTGCCTGTGGTTGGTGGTTAGAGTGGGTGGCGGTTGCACTGGGCGGAGGTTAGCCTGGGTGGTGGTAAAAGCTTCCGAACAACTTGACATACAAAATTAGGTCGTCTGAATTTTGAATGAACTCTAATTGTCATGAAATGCGGCTAAAATTGTCAATATAACCAATTGCCACCGATTCACAGCCCGCCCGCCCACTCCACTCCGCCCCTCTATCGACGGCACAATCCACTCATTATTGATTCGGATTATGCAAATCGTCGCTGGTCCAGTCCATAATCAGTTTGCCCTCTACATTGGCCATATTTTTCGGTTGATAACTTATTGCAGCTCGCGGAAAGCTTTTTCCAGGTGTATCAAAAAAGGACGATTTCCATCTCGTTGAATAAAATATTTGGACTTGGGAAAGTTCACTAATGGAAATATTTTTAAACGGAAAATTTGCAATAAAATTAAACAAATCTCTGGCATTAGTTTCCCTTCTTAATGTAGGCTTGCATTCTTAAAATTTATCGATTTGCTGCATCTTAATCGGAAATCCTACCGATTGCAAGCTTCAAAGTGACTCACTGAGAACTTAGTAACACCTTATTTGTTGCTGCTTTCAGAACTATAATTTGATATTTATAGCTCACACAATAATACTCCTTACACAGAAAAACAAATGTCATGATCAGTTGGACAATAACAGGTAATTGTTAATTAAAAAACCGATTTCTCTTCAAAAAATTCTAGCAGGAGACGTATAGTATATAGTATAGTAGAAAGTTAATTGATTTTTAAATTAAAAAATAGTTATTTTATATCAAAACTGGTATCACTTCTTTATCAGTGTAAGTAACATAAAGCTCTAATCTATTGAGAAAATCCCAACTGGTTATTGCAAACTCCTTAGAATTTCCACTCTAACCATTTTCCATTTAATTACACTTGTTGAGCAGGCCACTAAGATGTATCCCTTCCTTTCCCCAACTGCCCGAGAATCATTCGGCTTTCATAAGCTTTAAGTTCTTAGGAAACATTTAAATGTAAATCTATTTGAGTTGGCCTCTTTCAGTGGCTTAGTGGTTGCTGACTGAAATGGCCAAAGCCGTGCTGCAAGTTCATTTAACTAATAGCCAACAATTTATAACTAGCTCCAGTCGAGCCCCCTTTCCCTTTCCTGCTGCAGCAAAAAGCTTGCGACGACATACAACTAATGGCCTTTGCCCACCTGAACCCGAGTCCCGTCCCTCGATTCCTGGTCCTGGCCAGGAAACTAATCCGCTTAATGTTTTGCCTATCTCTATCTCCTAAAATATGACCAGCACTGTCCAGCAGGTCCTGCAGGATTCGACAGCTTCCTTATGCTTTATATGAGAGTGTGTGTGTGTGTGTCGTGGAACTTACTTCCTCCATTGATAGGGCATGGGCTTAAACTGCCCGTCCTGACAACCAAAATGAAAAAGAGAGCGCCGGGCAAAATTGAAAGAAAAGTGTTATGCAGTGCGTGAAGAAAAGTTTCCCAGAGATAACTTAAATAGCCCCCGAAGACGGCAGCACGATGATAATGTGATAAGCAGTTCGTGATGGGAAATGGGGAAAACGGAGCCGGGGACCGGAGACTACATGTGAGCCTGCTAATTAACTAAATTGAAGGAAAAACTTTTGTCTCTCTGCGACTCAAAAGGCAAAGGAGGAAACTGCGGGATCAGAAAGACTATGGAGCAATGTGTATACCCTAATAGGCAACAGCAATAACTTAAGCTGAAATATTCTCAAACTTTTAGAAGGTATTTTGCATTTTATGTCATAAACATCTTACCTGTTTTATGTAAATTAGTTAAAATATAAGAATTACATATTTATAATTATCTTTTAAATTAGCTTTTTCTAAGCATTTGTCAGTTCTCTAAACTAGAAGTACTTATTAACTTAGTTAACTTGTAGTTTCTACCTTATGATTGTTGAGAAACCACCAACTGTCTTGTGGTTGTTAGTGGTCCTGTATTCTACGATGTTTTATTTGAAAGATAGTTTTCATCTTTATACCTTGTTCTTCTTGTATTTAGTTTATACAGGATCAACTTGATATCCTCCAGCAGATTAAATTAATGTGTACGAGTATTAATGTTAGTTATCCTTTAGCAGTTTAATAATCTCATTCTCTCGGAGTTTAAAATTAGACAACAGTGCTGTGCTACTAAGAGTATGATAATTTGAAACCATAAAAAAAATGCATGGTTAGGGTTTTAAGCCACATCTATTTATCATCATCATCCCTTTTCCCCCAATACCTTTTTCGAATTATATTTTAAAACGAAGAGCTTGCAGAACTTATCTCATCATTTTCTTGATTGACTGCTAAGACAGTAACCCGCTAATCCAGTCGCAAATGTTTCCACATCGTGGCTCGCAGACTGCCAAACCCACTTCCGGTGCCCTGCCCTCGAAAAAGGGCTTAACTCACACATGCACGCCACATTAAAGCTGAGCAGCTGGGAACGCATATTAAGGCTTAAATGTAGACCGGAAAGCGCGACCCCGAAATGTTCGTTGCATACTTTGCTGCGCCCAGGCTCTCTCTCAAAGAGGCGTTTTCAAACATATGTGGATATGAATGGTT